TGTGTCAGTGTGTGTGTCAGTGTGTGTGTGTCAGTGTGTGTGTGTGTGTCAGTGTGTGTGTGTATATCAGTGTGTGTATGTCAGTGTGTGTGTATGTCAGTGTGTGTGTATGTCAGTGTGTGTGTATCAGTGTGTGTGTGTCAGTGTGTGTGTGTCAGTGTGTGTGTATGTCAGTGTGTGTGTCAGTGTGTGTGTGTCAGTGTATGTGTGTCAGTGTGTGTGTCCGTGTGTATGTGTCAGTGTGTGTATCAGTGTGTGTCAGTGTGTGTGTGTCAGTGAGTGTGTCAGTGTGTGTGTATCAGTGTGTGTGTCAGTATGTATCAGTGCGTGTCAGTGTGTGTGTCAGTGTGTGTGTGTCAGTGTGTGTGTGTGTCAGTGTGTGTGTGTCAGTGTGTGTGTGTCAGTGTGTGTGTGTCTGTGTGTGTGTATGTGTGTGACTGTGTGTGTGTCTGTGTGTCTGTGTGTGTGTATCAGTGTGTGTGTGTCAGTGTGTGTGTATCAGTCTGTGTGTGTCAGTGGGGAGCGGTAGTGTAGTGGTTAGCGCTACGCTGCGCTATGAACCTGGCGACCCGGGTTCGATTCCCGCTCACGGCCAACACCAGTGACGATTATCTGAACCGGTCCCGGGCCTCCCCTAGGTCGACTCAGCCTCAAATGAGTACCTGGTGTAGCGGTGTGTAGTAAACATCGCCACTAGGGAGACAAAGGCGGGCGGGCGTGGTTCTGGCCACCCACCCCCTCGTGTACCGTTCCGGCCTTCATAGGTGCTCGCTAACAGCACTTGCCCCTACAGTCTGTTAAGGCTATATGGGGGATCTTTGTCTTTATCTTTGTGTGTCAGTGAGTGTGTGTATCAGTGTGTGTGTGTGTCAGTGTGTGTGTGTGTCAGTGTGTGTGTGTGTCAGTGAGTGTGTATCAGTGTGTGTGTGGGGAGCGGTAGTGTAGTGGTTAGCGCTATGCTGCACTATGAACCTGGCGACCCGGGTTCGATTCCCGCTCACGGCCAACACCACCCAGTGACGATTATCTGAACCGGTCCCGGGCCTCCCCTAGGTCGACTCAGCCTCAAATGAGTACCTGGTGCGGTGTAGTAAACATCGCCACTGGAGAGACAAAGGCGGTCGGGCGTGGTGCTGGCCACCCACCCCCTCGTGTACCGTTCCGGCCTTCATAGGTGCTCGCTAACAGCACTTGCCCCTGCAGCCTGTTAGAGGCTACACGGGGGACCTTTGTCTGTGTCTGTGTGTGAGGTGCTAGCTGACAGCACTTGCCCCTGCAGCCTGTTAGAGGCTACACGGGGGATCTTTGTCTGTGTCTGTGTGTGAGGTGCTAGCTGACAGCACTTGCCCCTGCAGCCTGTTAGAGGCTACATGGGGGATCTTTGTCTGTGTCTGTGTGTGAGGTGCTAGCTAACAGCACTTGCCCCTGCAGCCTGTCAGAGGCTACACGGGGGATCTTTGTCTGTGTACGAGTATGGATCCGGCTCCATCCACGTCCCCTCTCATCTCGCGTCTCGCGAGGGATTTAGAACGTGAAAGAGTTTCTAGATTTGAAAGTGAATATGGAAACAACTTGAAGAGAATCTCCCGGTATCAAACCCCACCCCCAACGCGATCAGATCTCCCTCCCCCCTCCCTCCCCCTCTCCTCCCTCCCCCTCTCCCCCCCTCCCTCCCTCCCCCCTCCCTCCCTCCCCCTCCCTCCCTCCCCCCTCCCTCCCTCCCCCCTCCCTCCCTCCTCTCCTCCCTCTCCCTCCCTCCCTCCCGTCTCCTCCCTCCCTCCTCCCTCCCTCTCTCCCTCCCTCTCTCCCTCCCCCTCTCCCCCCCCTCTCCCCCCCCCTCTCCCACCCTCTCCCCCCTCCCTCTCCCCCCCTCTCCCCCTCCCTCCTCCCTCCCTCCTCCCTCCCCCCCTCCCTCCCTCCCTCCCCCCTCCCTCTCCTCCCTCACCCCCTCCTCGTGCTATGTGAGGAGTGCTACAGCTGGTGGTGGTGGTGATGGTGATCCACCTGTCGGTCAACCCATGGCACCTGCTGGGTCTGTCACGTGACCTCCACGTGCACCTAGCCTGGCACAGCAGTCAACCCATGTCACCTGCTGGGTCTGTCACGTGACCTCCTCCTGCACCTAGCCTGGCACAGCAGTCGACCCATGTCACCTGCTGGGTCTGTCACGTGACCTCAACGTGCACCTAGCCTGGCACAGCAGTCAACCCATGGCACCTGCTGGGTCTGTCACGTGACCTCAAACCTGCACCTAGCCTGGCACAGCAGTCAACCCGTGGCACCTGCTGGGTCTGTCACGTGACCTCCACGTGCACCTAGCCTGGCGCGAGCGCCGTGGCAACCTGGTACAGGTGTGTTACCTGTACAGTACAGGTGTGTTACCTGTACTGTACAGGTGTGCTACATGTACAGTACAGGTGTGTTGCCTGTACAGTACAGGTGTGTCACCTTACAGTACAGGTGTGTTACCTGTACTGTACAGGTAACACACCTGTACTGTACAGGTGTGTTACCTGTACAGTACAGGTGTGTTACCTGTACAGTACAGGTGTGTCACCTGCACAGTACAGGTGTGTTACCTGCACAGTACAGGTGTGTCACCTGTACAGTACAGGTGTGTCACCTGTACAGTACAGGTGTGTCACCTGTACAGTACAGGTGTGTCACCTGTACTGTACAGGTGTGTTACCTGCACAGCACATGTGTGTTACCAGTACAGTACAGGTGTGTCACCTGCACAGTACAGGTGTGTTACCTGCACAGTACAGGTGTGTCACCTGTACTGTGCAGGTGTGTCACCTGTACAGTGCAGGTGTCACCTGTACAGCACAGGTGTGTTACCTGCACAGTACAGGTGTGTTACCTGCACAGTACAGGTGTGTCACCTGCACAGTACAGGTGTGTCACCAGTACAGTACAGGTGTGTCACCTGTACAGTACAGGTGTGTTACCAGTACAGTACAGGTGTGTTACCTGTACTGTACAGGTGTGCTACATGTACAGTACAGGTGTGTTGCCTGTACAGTACAGGTGTGCCACCTTACAGTACAGGTGTGTTACCTGTACTGTACAGGTAACACACCTGTACTGTACAGGTGTGTTACCTGCACAGCACATGTGTGTTACCAGTACAGTACAGGTGTGTCACCTGCACAGTACAGGTGTGTTACCTGCACAGTACAGGTGTGTCACCTGTACAGTACAGGTGTGTCACCTGTACAGTACAGGTGTGTTACCTGCACAGTACAGGTGTGTCACCTGTACAGTACAGGTGTGTCACCTGTACAGTACAGGTGTGTCACCTGTACAGTACAGGTGTGTCACCTGTACTGTACAGGTGTGTTACCTGCACAGCACATGTGTGTTACCAGTACAGTACAGGTGTGTCACCTGCACAGTACAGGTGTGTTACCTGCACAGTACAGGTGTGTCACCTGTACTGTGCAGGTGTGTCACCTGTACAGTGCAGGTGTCACCTGTACAGCACAGGTGTGTTACCTGCACAGTACAGGTGTGTTACCTGCACAGTACAGGTGTGTCACCTGCACAGTACATGTGTGTCACCAGTACAGTACAGGTGTGTCACCTGTACAGTACAGGTGTGTTACCAGTACAGTACAGGTGTGTTACCTGTACTGTACAGGTGTGCTACATGTACAGTACAGGTGTGTTGCCTGTACAGTACAGGTGTGCCACCTTACAGTACAGGTGTGTTACCTGTACTGTACAGGTAACACACCTGTACTGTACAGGTGTGTTACCTGCACAGCACATGTGTGTTACCAGTACAGTACAGGTGTGTCACCTGCACAGTACAGGTGTGTTACCTGCACAGTACAGGTGTGTTACCTGCACAGCACATGTGTGTTACCAGTACAGTACAGGTGTGTCACCTGCACAGTACAGGTGTGTCACCTGTACTGTACAGGTGTGTTACCTGCACAGCACATGTGTGTTACCAGTACAGTACAGGTGTGTCACCTGCACAGTACAGGTGTGTTACCTGCACAGTACAGGTGTGTCACCTGCACAGTACAGGTGTGTCACCTGTACAGTACAGGTGTCACCTGTACAGCACAGGTGTGTTACCTGCACAGTACAGGTGTGTTACCTGCACAGTACAGGTGTGTCACCTGCACAGTACAGGTGTGTCACCAGTACAGTACAGGTGTGTCACCTGCACAGTACAGGTG